ATGCCCTTATGGTTAGGTATGGTGATTTTCTTGTTTGGGATTTTCCAATTGGCAAATTCTAAAAAGGAAGTCTATTTCTTTTATTATTATATCATTCTGATCTCACCATTATGACAGAGGATTGATTTTGGAGTCCACGGTTTTCCTTAATGATGAAATTGAGCACACAAGTTTATCCCTCTGATTTTAAGTAATTGAGTTTTCTTCCCACAGAAACATCCTGTCAAATTAGGTAAACATGTGCTTGCAAAGCCATTGAGTTCTTGTTTGGTTGTTTGTAGTCATTCTGGTTTCTGTTCAAGCTTATTACACTCATGTGTTGCCTACAATGCTCATTAGAGCAAATCTTTGATTTAGATCAGGATGGGTGGTTTTAAAGTCTGATATAAGGATCCACAACATTATTTTAGGAGTTTAAACAACTCAGTTTTTCGTTTTTCTGTCATGATTTGTCTGGGAGCAAAATATTTTTATCATGTTCTCACTTTTCACTAGAAGCATTTCAAATTGTTGTTATTAGGCACCACCCCATACCTTGTATTCTTGTTTGTTGGCCCATACAGCCTCCATTATGGATGCATAGGAACAAAAATACACCATTGTTTTGAATTTGATATCCTCAAACAGAATGAAAAAATGATATGGTCAACATGCCTTTGCTTTCGCTTCAAACTTTTCTTTTGCCTTTCTTCTTGTTTTCAAACTACAACCACCATTAGAAAACAAAGCAAAGCAAAACCATGGGGAATTTGAAGGCACCAAAACCAAATCATACCAACCCTAGAATTTTCCTCCCAATGCCTCCTTCCATTTTGTCTTCTTTTCTCTGCCCTCTATTGTGCTTTCTCCATTTCTTTCTATCAGCATGGATCCAAAAAGCTTTTCTACCTTGAGAAATTTTCTTCAGAAATGTGCAGTTATCATCTTTTTGAGTTCCTTAGCTTATGAAACTCTGTCCCTCGACTCTAAATTTCAGGCTTGTATGCCTCAATCATGCGGAAATGGCCCCTATATTAGCTATCCTTTTTGGATTTTTCAGGAACAAGATTCCTTCTGTGGCTACCCAAACTTTGAGATCACCTGCAAAAACAACAGCCCAGTTCTTACCATATCTGATGATAATTATATCATCAAAGATATATGGTACTCCAACAATACCTTTGTAGTGGTCAATGCTGTAGCCTATGAAGAAATGTGTCCAATTCCTCTGCAAAATGCTACTTTTGATCGAACTCCATTCAGTCTTAGTTCTGATAATGTCTATTTTTCCTTCTTATATAACTGCACTGAGCAGCCAGATTACCATACATATCCAGTAAGATGTGCTAGCAATACTTCCAGTTATTCTTTTGCTGTTTTCCATGAAGAAGGTTTGGAGAGCAGTAACTACTCCTTAGAGTCATGCCAATCTTTTGTTAATGCCCCAGTGTATATGGATACGGACACTTACAGTAATTTCACAAGTCTGTTGAAAGCAAACTATTCTGAAATCCTGAGGATGGGTTTCCTTCTGAATTGGACTGCACATAGTTGCAGCAATTGTGAGAGCAGTGGTGGGCACTGTGGATTTGATAATGATCATTTCATTTGTTTTTGCCAGGATAGGTCTCATTCCAAAACCTGCAATGATGGTAATTCCATAGGAAATTCACCTTTCCAATTTCTACTGTTGTTTTTTCCCTCAAATTACTAACATAGTTTATTAAGCTTATTTTCTGTAGATTGAGGGCCTAATTAGTTCCTCTGCTTGTTAATGTTGTATTTTTTTTTCCTTGTGCTTGCTTCTTGGCCTGATAGATGTCTTGTTTCTGTTTCTTTTGTTTTTTTGCAAGTACTTTATGATTTTTGTGTATTGATTTACTTTTGCTTGTTGGGAAGCAATTAACCATATGGCACGGTATTCATCCTAAATGATTCTAGAAAGTTTGTTCTGATTCAATGTAATGTTCTGTTCTTTGCCTTTTCCTTATTCGTCCTAAGATTTCATGAAGCCTATAATTGCAATTATTCTCCACATTATCTAAACATTTTTTGCTTTATGTTCTTACTGTCAAAGATAAAGGACATTTTTTTTTTTTAAATAGGCAATGGACCTAAAGGACCTTTGCGACAGCAGCTTGGAATAGGTAATTTAATACAACGACTATTCTTTCTCATGCTGTATCTAAAAGCAGATATCTTATCAATCAGAATTTATCTACAGGTATTGGCTGTGGTGTTGGAGGTATATTAATAGCCAGCGCTGTGTTCTTCCTCTACCAACAGCGGAAGAAAGCTCTCAAATATGCTCGCTCATGCTCATTTTCACAAGACAACTCTTTACCACCACAGACTGATTCTGAGATGGGAGTCTTCCTTAGTGTTCAACGCTTCAGCTACAATGAACTTGAAAAGGCCACCAATAAATTTGATTCTGAGAGGGAGCTCGGTGATGGAGGCTTTGGCACTGTATATTATGGTGAGGGGAGAACTCAACAAAAAATCTTTTTTCTTTTTCCGTATTACTAATTAGAGATGTTGACATTTTGATGAAAATCTAATTCCTTGTCCTTCCTAAACCAGGCAAACTCCGAGATGGCCGCCCTGTTGCAGTCAAACGCTTATATGAAAGCAATTACAAAAGAGAGGAGCAATTCTGGAATGAAATTGAGATCCTAGGACAGTTGCGCCACCCAAACCTTGTCTCACTTTATGGCTACGCCTCTCGCCACAGCCGTGAACTCTTGCTTGTATACGAATACATTTCTAATGGCACGGTTGCTGACCATCTTCATGGTGAAAGTGCCGAACCTGTTTCACTTTCATGGTCCATTCGTTTGAAGATTGCCATAGAGACTGCAAATGCATTGACATACCTCCATGCTTCTGATATTATCCACCGTGATGTGAAAACCGACAACATTCTCCTTGACGAGAACTTTTGTGTTAAAGTTGCAGATTTTGGACTTTCTCGTCTCTTTCCATTAAATGCTACCCATGTTTCTACTGCTCCACAAGGGACTCCTGGTTATGTTGATCCAGAATATCATGAATGCTACCAGCTTACAGACAAGAGTGATGTCTTTAGCTTTGGGGTTGTCTTGATTGAGCTAATATCATCCAAGCCAGCTGTTGACATCACCAGGCACCGCCATGAGATAAACTTGTCTAACATGGCCATCAACAAGATTCAAAATCAAGCATTGCACGAGCTTGTAGATCCATCTCTTGGGTTTGAATCAGACTACAAAATAAGAACAATGATAACTTCAGTAGCAAAAGTGGCATTTCAGTGCCTTCAAGGTGGGAAGGACATGAGACCCACAATGGAAGAGGTGCATGAGGCTTTAAAGGAAATACAGAGTGGAAACTACAATAAAAGGAAGGTAGGGGATCAGATGGACAATTCAGCAGATAAGGTTGTGTTGTTGGAGAGTGGACCTCAGACTCTCTCACCGGATTCTGTTACTGTAAAATGGGTTAGTAACTCTTCAACATCTAATGCCAGTATTTGAGTTTTTTCAGCATCTCATTTTGCTAGAATTTGAAGGCATATAATGAATAGTCTGTACAACTTGTAACATCCACCATATATTCAACAAAAGATGGTGTCTGTAATATTTATTTCATCCCAGACTGGACCTTATTATCCAAATTGGAATGTGCATACGGTTTAGGAGATACCAAGTCACCTGGTATATAAAGCTCATTTACCTGATTTTTGTGTTCTGGTTTGTCTGTTCTGGTAATTTACAGTGTAAACAAAATAATTTATTTCATTCATCGACTTTCTTAAATGTATTAGCAGTTTCCTAAGCTAGGCAAGAATATCTCTCTGTTCTGCTATGCTTGTAACGCAACTTTTTCAAAATTATTTCTTTCATCAACTTTTTTAAATTTATTAGCATAGTTTTGATAGTTCAAAATCTTCCTGAAGAAAAATGCTGCAAGGTTCCATGTCCAAATGTAGAATCATTGTGTTGCATCCATGGTGCTGGTACTGGAGCCCTCAAGCTATTCCAACTGCAATTTGGTACGACCTTTTTTTCCATCCCAAAGATTATCTTAATTAGTCACTCTTGGTTTTCTTCTTGAAAACGCCCATTGGTATAATTGGTAACTTCTTCCTCTTGAACATATACCATGAAACAGGTAAACAATACTCTAGTTCCCTTGGCAATAACAATTGTTAACAAAAGCAGGATATGAACTCAAGGGATGATAAATGAAATGAATTCCTCTTATTTTGAGTAGTCCTGTACCAAAGCAACTCTCTCCTGGGGCTAAAATTTTACCATTATTAACGAGACAATGAAGGGGTTATCATGTCACTGAAAGAAAAAGAAAAATCATCTGTCTAGAGTCTCCAGACACGAGTCAAGGCATCAGAGAGAGAGAGGAAAAAAAAAAAAAAACTAATGACAAATCCTTGCCATGCACATAAGCATTATTTTGCATTGATGAAAAATGGATTTTGACAGAAAAATCGTCCAATAATCATGCTTTCATCTTTCAAGGAGTCAAGACCTCACCATGAATATTTATTGCATTATCATGGAATCCTAATGCCGTGGGCCGATAGCTCACTTAAACCAAACACAAGGAAAATTAACATATCAACCTAACATGAACTATTCATGAGCCTTGTACTGTCATAGATTTATGGTCTTAACAATCAGTACAAATTCATTTAGATAGACATAAAAGATAAACCAGGTATACAAATTAATCTAGTAGTGATATAGTATTGCAACCAGATGCGGCAGAAGAATCAGGTAGCGGTCTTGGGGGAGAAGAAAGAATAGGCTTGGGTGGAATTGGCAAAGCTTCCACACTTCCTTCTAACATCTCAATCACCTTCTCTATTGATGGCCTGTTAGAAGGTTTTATTTGTATGCACCACAGCCCCACCAATATCATCTTCCTCTCGGTATTTGTTTCTACTTTGGACTTTAAACCTTGCAGTCCAAGTTCATCAACCAATTCTAGATGCCTATAAATCCAATCCGGAAAATACTCACTGCTAGCACTTACCCTTGTTTGAACACTCTTCTTTCCTCCAACCATTTCAAGAATCATCATTCCATAGCTGTAGATGTCTGATTTGAGTGAAACAGCCCCAAAGTTTCGGAAAAAGACTTCTGGAGCTATATACCCAGGTGTCCCTCTGGGTGCCAATGTTGACACAACACTGTCCTTTCTAGAGCATAGTTTGGACAGCCCAAAATCAGAGATCTTCGGGCAAAATTCTTCATCAAGAAGAATGTTTTGAGGTTTTATGTCCAAATGCAAAATCCTTGTGTTACATCCATGGTGCAAGTACTCGAGCCCTCGAGCTATTCCAATTGCAATACCATATAGCTTTTCCCATCCCAAATTCTGATTATCCTCCGAAGTGCTTTCCTTGAAGATGAACTTTTCTAGAGACCCATTTGGCATGAACTCATAAATCAAAGCTCTTTTTTCACCCTCCAAACAAAATCCTAGAAGTGTAACAACATTGACATGGGAAGTTCTACCAATGCTTGCAACTTCATTAATAAATTCTTCTCCATTCCCCTTGGATACATTAAGGACCTTCACAGCTACAAGACGACCATCTGGTAGATTACCTTTGTACACATCTCCATAACCACCATGGCCTAGTTTTTCCTTATATGAATTGGTCATTCTCTTGACATCCAAAAAACAGTATCTTTTAGGAGCTAAAGTTCCATAATTTCTGATGAAAGCCTCAATTTCTCGGTCATTCTTTGTTACCTTCCTATTAATCCTCTTGAAAACAACTATAATGATAAAAGCTAGCAGTGCTCCAATGCCTATTGCAGGAATAGCTATTTCAAAAGCACAAGATTATCAAATGTCAATTGAAGTGTATATACTCTTCTCCAAACTCCAACTATATGTAGCAATACTATTCTTTTAGACTTTGATTATAATTAACATAACTTTACCAATATCCACATGCAAAGACTATTATAGCATTGCCAAATTCATCTACTGCTCAGGTTTAGTAAAGTTCAATTACATAACAATGCATGGATTATACCATGGCTAAACGAAATAGGCAAACAACCAAATCATGCATCATAAGAGTGCTGATCATGTGTGCGTACCTATAAGAATCAGAACTCTGGTTTTGAGAGCAGAAATCCTTCCTGCAATAACATAATTTTCTTTCATCAGATAAATTGTTTCAACATATCGATTTAACTACAATCCAGGATACGGAGAATGTTTTCAATTTCTTTCTCTTTTTGCTTACATAACATAAATTGTGCTGATATATATATATATATATATATAAAACAGATAAATTAATTTTATTTCAAATCCACTCTCTTTTTGTATTTTGAATCTTAATAGCCTGATATTGAGCTTGAATGATTTTTTTAAATGACTGGACTTGAGGTCAGTTTTTAACTTTCCTTGAAGCCCATCAAGACAGCAACAAAGCCAACAAAGTTAATTAGTGGAACATTTCAAAACGGTATTACCTTATATAAGCTGGAAACCTATAGAGTTTGCAATTGAACATACTGATATTTTTGCTAGCTAGGCTTTAGCATACCAAGAACAAAGGATAAATCTTTCTTTTGGGAGGGATTGTCAATCTATGAAGCATCATCCATAGTGAGAAAGAAATAATTAACTTGAACCAAAAAAGGGTCAAGGTTGTTAATACCATAAGTACCAACCGTGTATTGGGACAATATTTTTTTATCAATTTCATTCAGCATTACTACTATAAATAAATATAAATTAAGGCGCATCATTTTTGAGCTTCATCTTATTTCCAAGTTCTGAAGCTTAATGCACTTTCTAAAAAAAATTGCTCTCTTCAACCTCAAGTTCCTCAACCTACCCTCTTCGACCTACTCCATCCTCAACTCTAGAAAGAAAATCTCTGATTTCTTCTTCATTGTAGGAGCAGTGAAGTGAATGGATTAACGTATTCAATAGGATTATGATTTTCAAGGAAACTGGGAAAAAGTTACAAGCTTAGTATGTTTTCTTCTAAATTATATGATCTATAAGGTCTCTATTGATTGATTGGGATTGGTGTAGTATCCTATTGCACTCAAGTGTTTTCCCTCATTTCGAGTCCTAATCTCGATCTTTTCCTATCAGTTTTCAATCTTATGATGTGCCATATGATTCGATGGTTAATATTGTAGTTTCAACTTTCATTCACTTAGAGGGAGAAGCACTTACTCCCTCAGTCATCTCTGCTCTGGCCGGTCGCCACCCAATTAGATGAAAAAACCAGCGAGGAGCATCATGGGCGTGGGGGCAAATTGTCATTTCAATTTTGCACCAATGGATTAAGTTTAAAAGTCCAGTCAACCAAAGCTGCTAGTCACGTTGACTTGTTCAAAGTAGACCAGAACAATGTCAAGCAGTGAGTTTCCAGGAAGCTATAGGATAGACTCAATTGGGTATTGAATGCGCATTGCCAGAACAGAATAATCCTAAGCCGTAAGCACTACACCAAATTAAAAGCAAATGGTTTTGCATAGATGATCCATACCTCTATCCGGACCTGGACGATACTGGCATGTTGTTTGTGGATACTGATCTGAACTCGAATTGATTTCGCATTTGCCACCTAAACTCTCACATTGATCACAGAAAACAGCACTACTGCTGTACTCCACATCAAACCAAAATTGTCTCAAAGCATCAACCAATGTCAGTTCCCCAAATCAGAATTTGTTGAAAACCGTCTGATTAACCGCAACCATCACAGTACTGCACCCGTAACGATCATCCTTCTCATGTTCCTCCCAATCAGGCATAAAGAAGGGTCTGCTGTTGTCATTGGGTCCGCAATCATCAATCTTATATCCAGGCAGTACCTCTTGAGGTGGTGTACAGTTATAGAACAGAGTGAGGATTCTGTCGGTTTCGGAGAATTTCAAGAAAGGCAGAGTTTTGTTTTGTGGTGTCTTGGGACAAATATATGCCTTTAAATCAATTGAAGCAATGGTCAATTTGCTGTAATCTGATGGGTTTCTGCGCTGCAGTTGGAATAAACCATCTGGGCCAAAGTCTATGGTGGGAACCCCTTTTTCGCAGTCTTTCAAGCGGAATCCAAGCGGATGACAATGCTCCGGAGTATTGTCGTTCCAAAAAGGATAGTAAAAGGTTCCATGGCTGCCACACTCGAAGGAAGCAGAACGGTTACACTTTATGAACTCATCCAAGGGATCGCTGTATGAAGGTGGGAGAAGGAGCAAGATGGAGAAGATGGTGATGATGCACACAAAAGTGGATGAAAAAATGGGTTGGGGAAGCATTTCCATTTGTGGGAGTTATGGAGGAAAACTAGAAAGGAATTGGTAGAAGATGATGAGATGGGTTTTTTTTTTTTGAAACGGATGAGATGGGTTTATTTGTAAGTTAAAGGGATATTTACATAAAGCCAAATGGAAGGTCTTGGTCAATGTCATCCCTCCATTTCCTCTGGTAATAATTTTTTTTTTTTTTTTGAAAATAGGAAATGGGTTTATTTGTTTATAATGGTACTAATATTTACATAAAGCCAAATGGAAGGTCTTGGTCAATGTCATCCCTCCATTTCCTCTGGTAATAATTTTTTTT